GGATGCTAATGCTAACTAAATGCTGAGGTATATGACATTCCTGCCTCCCACTCAGTTATCCCTCAGTGTGTATGTGTGTGTGTGTGTGTGTGTGTGTGTGTGTGTGTGTGTGTGTGTGTGTGTGTGTGTGTGGCTGGTGATAGAGGCAGGCTCAGTGTATGTTATATAAGCAATAATTACGTTAATGTATTGACTGTATTGATATTCACTGAGTTGACATCTGCTTCATTGCCCTAACAACAGATAGTGGCTGCTTATCAGTTATTAAGTGTGTGTCGATGGTCTGATGTTCAGCAGATGGCGAGGAATGCCAGTTGATTGCAATTAGTGCAAACTGGGGCATGTGTGCAGAAAGTAAGCAGTGATAACACGGTTGTTTTTATCGCCCTTTTGAAAGGAAACTATATAAGCACATATGGGGAGTGACAGCAAAGTGTGTTAAATCTCATGAAAAACCCCATATGCATGCAGGGACGGCCCTCTTCCCCCCCTTCAAGGCCAGGCAGCAATAGAGTGCACAGCTGGAGCTCGGTGGAAGTGAGAATGTACTGTCTCTATTCATGGCTCCTCTCCCGCTCCTCAGCTGTGCCATTTCCAATCAATAGCTTTGAGGAAATCAGCGTCTTCCCTGCAGTTTGAAATGAAAGGCCTCTTTTGTTGTGAAGCCCATAGTGTGTATAATGATCTCATGCTGAAGAAAAATGCATGTTTTTCAGAGTTCTCCCCGTTGCAGCACATTACATAATGTGTTCATGTTGAAAGTGAAGCCTGGAAAGCTGCATTCACAGTTAAAGTAGGAATGAAGGTGATGCCTACCTATCTTCTGGTGTGAAGTGGTTGAAAAGCAGTGCGTTTTAGCAGCACAAGACTTGCATGTGAATAAGATCATAGTTTCCCCTCTGGCTCCAGGTGTTTACTGGAACCATTAATTTCCATCTGCATATATGCCCACCTCCTCCTCCTACTTCTTCTCCCACTCCCCCGTCTCGCTCTCTGAGGAGCGTGTGCCTGGGGCTCAACAAGAACGCAAGAATGACTTTGATTTGACCAAGGAGAAGTCAGACAACTTCTTTATTATATTTTCGCAAAGCAATTTACTCCCAAGATGCATCTCTGCAGCAGTGATGAAGATGAAGTATGTTGCCAGTAATGGGTTTTATAGTGGCACTGATGACAACATATGACAGTATGGTTCCATCGTGAAAAATAATGTAAAGCTGAGACACAATAACAGCTCAAATAGTCAAATGGGATTAAAGGCGAAGTCAGTGCTGTTCAATACAGTTTTTGGGAAATTCACTTAATATCTCCCAAGGACTAGTCACTGTATATAAGAATTGGAAGTGGTAAACGTGACATCACCCATTGGAAAAGTGAGGCTTTAAAGCCTCAAATTAGGCATTCTATTGTTGCTATCTTGTTTTTTGCAACCAGGAATGAAAGTTCAGGATAGAGCTACAACCAAACACAAAAAAAAGGTTTTTAGGCAACCAAAATGTAACAATAAATACAACTTTGAATAACTAACAACACTCTGGGAAAGGGTTAAAGTTGTTAGACGAAAAGACAGAGAGCAGCCGGAATGGACAATTATGTTATAGCGGCCTGTCAATCACAAGGTAGCCCCGCCCTAAAGCGTACCTCAAGCATTTATCATCTATTTCACTCAAAATGAGACCATATTGGAATAAATGAACATCATGCTTTATTGGAGAATAATTCAAACCCAGGGAACTAGCTATAGTATCAACTTTAAAAACATGCATGGCAGTGTTTTACTGATCATCAAAACTCTAATCTAATCCTAAACCACTTTGTTTTCGTAATGGGTTTTTCATGTCTCATGTCTTCATGTTGTGTAATCATTGTAAACAGAACATTAAAAGCCTATATATTTTCATGATTGTATATCCCTTTTGAAATTATATACATATATATTGTTTATCATACTGTGTGCAAGTTAACCCTATACAAGTGTACAAAGTGTACCAGTACTATTTACATTACACTTCAGCTTTGTATAAACACCATATATCTTATTTGTTTAAAGTGCAGTGCAGCTCAGTCGCCACTTCACCTCTTACTGTTTTGATTGCTAATGCATTGTGTCATGGTGACTATCTGCTGCCTCTTTCTGAATCCAACATTGCCATCTGTTGTTTGAGTAAAGTAACTGCTCTATACTGGACTTGTGCAAAATGTGTGAAACTCCACTTTAGTTGTAAAAGTGAATCCATTGCAGAGAAAGTTTGAAGATGAAGAGACAAACACATCAGAACAAAGTAAATTTAATATAATAATATAAATATAATAACAGTCTATACACATGTTCATTTATTAAGGTCATCTGGATTATAAATCAGGATATATTTATTATTTGTACTTTATGGTGGTATAGTAGAAGTGATGGTGCATATACAGTTTATATATTTTTAAAGTAGCATTGCCTTAAAGGTAAGGTAGGTAATTAACTTCAGAAACATTTGTTGTTATATTCCATGGAATGCTCTTAACATCCCGATAGCAATGAATACATTAAATGCTTTGACAATAAAAATATATAAAAAATGTCATCTGTGGAAGCCGTGGCGCTGTAAAAAGCACGACCAGTTATTTTAGCAGGCCCGGTTAAATAACTGGATGGCCTACCATCGGCAGTGGCTCAGTCAGTAGGGGGGCTTGGACTGTGAGCCGTAGGGTCGCCGGTTCAAGTCCCCGACCAGACCTAAATATTGAGTGTGGACTTCTACTTGGAGAGGTCCCAGTTCACCTCCTGCCCTGCCGTGGTGCCCTTGAGCAAGGCACTGGACATCCCCCTTCCACCCTCACTCCCATTGCTCCCCGGGCGCTGTACAATAGCTCCCCACTGCTCCTGGTACTAGACTCCTGGTACTAGGATGGGTTAAAAGCAGAGAACACATTTCACTGTGTGTGCTGTGTGCTCTGCATGTGTGACCATTAAAGAGAGTTTCATCCCTCCCAATTCTATTCTAATTATACCTGCCTGTCAGCCTTCCATCTGTGCATAAACTTATCTCGTGCCCTCATTGGTCATGTGCGCGTTCATGCGTGTTATGTTATATTGGAGGAGGGGCTCTGTAAGGAAGCTCTGATTTTTTTCCGGTTGTGTACTTTCAGATTCTAGCGCTGGTTTCTCCATTCTTACCCTTAATGGACTAATTCTCCATTGCAAATAAAGTCCTGCATTCAAAGAAAGAGAGACAAATAAATATTGTCAGCAAAATATACTTGGTTAGTTTAGCTTCTTTGAACTATTCACTATGCTGTTGGGAAGTTTAATAAATAACAACAGCATAGTATGTTTTACATTTTTAAATCTGAATCTGCAAAGTCACCAGAAGCTACCAGATGAATTTAGTTAAGTATGTTCATTAATATTATATTATAGAATAAGTAGGAGTATAAAGTGGCATTACATGGAACTACTCAACACTGTGATACAAACCTACTTTACAACTCCAATTCCACCACTGATCACTATTTGGGATTTAAATGCATTCGTTCTCTGGAGTTGATATTTCTTCTTTTCTCATCCACAGTCGCTCCCACATTTATCATCATCCCCATCTAAAGCAACAAAGCTGAGCTGAACTGAAATAATTACCATACCATAATAAGAGCCACCTCTGCAAATATGACCTTGCCCAATCAATCAATGCGATTTACATCTGCATTGAACTTTATGTAGACATTTATGTACAGACTTTCACTGAAAGATGAAATGCACATTTATTAATCACACTTTCTTTTGCTCAAAACGTATACTAATTAAATGTAATTATATAGTCAATACATATATGCTATATATATACAAACATAACAATGTATGCATACACCTATCTACATTGTTGTTAACATTCTGCTTATACTTTTGCAATCACTGTCCATAGAAAATATATTCAGATTGATATAATATTTTACATAGACCATCATGTCCGGCAGTGGCTCAGTCAGTAGGGGCTTGGACTGGGAGCTGTAGGGTCGCCGGTTCACTCCCCGAACAGGACCTACCTACTTGGAGAGGTCCCAGTTCACCTCCTGGGCCCTACCGTGGTGCCCTTGAGCAAGGCACCGGACACCCCCCTCACTCCCATTGCGCCCAGGGTGCTGTACAATAGCTGCACACTGCTCCTGGTACTAGGATGGGTTAAATGCAGAGAACACATTTCACTGTGTGTGCTCTGCATGTATGACCATTAAAAGAGGGGTTTCATCCCTCCGATTCTATGTAATGTATTTAACTTCTGCCCCATTTTAAGTGTGAAATTAGAGTCTTTTTGATTTCTTACCTCTGGTATTTTCTTGGATAATTATTGAATACGCATTGTTGGAGGGAGCGAGAAATCAAAAATCTTCATTAGCAAATCTCACTGTTATTGTTGTTATTAGAAAGTTATAATCTGGTATTTGCCTTAGTGTACCACTAGAGGGCCGCAGAAGGACTGTTTTTAACGGGCTGAACTACAGACAGTAAAGTTTAAACTGCAGCGAGCATGCGTCAAGCCAGCACGAGACACCCACAACAACCCAGAGCAAACAGACTGTTATTGTCATAAAAACAAAAGCCTGCATTTCTTCTGGGATTTTTACTGGGTTATTATGACAGTAGGGTTGGAGTAAATATGTGGCTTAAAGGTAAATGGTTAAACACGAATGATAATGAATGTATCTTCTGATACAAAAAAGATTAAGACTCAGTAGCTCACTGCTGTTTTTTTCCTTAATCATGGCATGGGCAATCTCTCTCTTACATGAAAATGAACAGATTGCAGAGAAAGTGGGAGAAATGGAAATACATTTTTAATAAAGTGCAAAAATAAACCCTATAAAGGCTGTGGCTGGCCTGGACCCCAAAAATACATTCTTAAAGGTAGCAAAACGCAGTTGGAACAAAAGACTTGAGTTTGTGTGTTATTTTGAAATGTAACCGGATGTGGATGTGTTTGATTCCGTAACTCTTGACACCGGTCCGGGCAGCAGGCTGTCAGTCGCAGTTTCCCTACTTTGCTCGCACCATCCAGGCGGTTAGCTATGTGACAGAGTGGCCGCTGTTTGATCCCGGACTCCCCGCATCTTCACCGTCCGCTCAGGATGGACCAGAGGAGGGCTGAACACGGCCGGAACACCGGTCCGGTGTCGCTGTACGGGGAATTCACGTTGACCGCTAACCGAAAAGTCAGGTGTGCGGTGAGCCTGACCGAGAAGGACCTCATCGTCCAGAGGCTCAGCTCTTCTCCTGTTGGGAGGAACAAGGTGGTGCTCAGCCTGAAGGACTGCATCGGTTGCCGGGCGTACCGGGGGGATGACACCGCAGACCCGGCAGCTTACCTGACGATTTTCTTCTACCCGCTCAAACGGCGCTGGATGAGTTCCGGGGTCTCGAGGCAGAGAGCGGAGCAGTGTTTTCGTCTCACGGGTCTCCAGGACCCTCGCGCTAACCTGGAGGAGGCGGAGAAGTGGGCTCGCGCTGTCCGAGAACGCTCTGCACGGCAACAGTATCTAAGAGACGGTGAGTGTTCGTTAGCAACAAGAGTTCACTGTCCTGACCCAACAGTACACTGCAGTTACATTTGACTACATTTTTAAACTTACATAGATACCAATCAACATAGGTGTAACGCTGGGAACATGTCCCCACCACTTGTTGAAATTACCAATTGTGTTCCCAATGCTTTAAAAAATGTGTTTTGTAAACATTTTAATAGATGAAGGTTTATTTCACAAGAGAACAGGTACAATCTAGAGAACAGTTCGTGTGATCACACTTGGTGGGTGTATTTTTTGCCTCCAGGTGTTGATATTGTCTGGAAGGGTATGTTTAGGCTGTGGCCTGACTTTGTAAATCCTGTGTTTACAGGTGTTGATAACAAATGGAAGGCTTTTCGAAAACATATCTGACATTTTTTCCCTACCACTTTTCAAAACAAAGTGACACCACTGTCAATCACCTAATGATTCAATATGTGTTCTCGAAGTCAAATGAAAAAGAAAACAACATTGAACACCGTTTAGTTTCACCACCTACTACAAAACAAATGTCCAATGTCATCAGCTGTATTGTAAATAATAATTAGTTTCCTTTGTGGTTGATTTGCTGATTGTTTGGATCAATTAAACATGTTTAGTCAGAAATCTGAAAATAGTTGAAAAAGTCATTCATAAGGTAGAAGCACAATCTCAGAAATAAAATCCTGTAAAAAAATACAGAAATCATCAAAATAGTTGTTGATTATATCAGGATCGGCACATTGATTTGTCTTTAACTCTGCTCTTTCATTAGTCACTTTAGATTAAATCAGGAGGAATCCTAGGGCTTCTACCTTTTGATTAAATAACTTGTTAACTGCAATTTGCACAGTGTGCAATTACTGCTGCTATACTACTCTCCTGTGTACATACTTGTCTTTAACACATCCTTAGATGTTATTATGATGAAACTATGAGAGGTAAGGCGAGACACAATAAACCTTTATAGATTATGTGAATGTGTCATAGCGTTTAAAATTAAAGGTAGAAATACTCTTTAGTGCCTACTGACCTGTACAGTGACTGTTTTTAAAGACTGTTACCAGCTGTTATCAGTTTAATCTGACATTAAAACATGTTTAAGTACAATGTCACTTACAATATCATTTTAACCTAATCATTAACTTACATTTAAGGCATAATTAAGGCTTCCGGGGTTATTCTTAACAGTTTTCCTTACAGATATTTAAAAAGCAAATAGTATTCTCTGTTTATTTTCTATACAGAACTGGTTTCTTGTAACCTTATAAGCCCACATAGGCTCTTGTTCCTATACCTTTAACCTACTCCTGTGAATATAACAACAGGACTGATCAGGTACAGTCACATTTCAGTTCCGTTATTCAAACAAACCCCTTTAACATAAAAGATGCCTGAAAACATGAGATTACTGAGGTCGCCTATTTTCTGTGTAGACCTGTATTATTATCTCTTATCTGTCACAGGATATCTTTACCTTTAACCTGCTCCTTATATGAATAAAACAATAGGCCTGGCGTGGTATGGAGACTCACGTTACAGCAACTACACTCTGCAAACAAACCAGATTAACATAAAGACACCTGAGAAACGTGAGGCAATGTTACTTCTATTGAGTTCAGGCAATGCCAAAAGGTATGAATACTCTGGTGGGAAACATTCTGTAATTGGAGGTTTCTAAAGATAAGTTATCTCATTATTTGTCCTCCTCAACAAGCTGTTCCAGCTCAATGAAGAAAAAACATGAAATGCAATTTTGTTTTTCTTTAAGTATGCTTACGATTCATGTCACTTTTTTTCTTCCAAAAGTTAATTATCCAAAGCCTCTGTACACCCCCCTCTATTTACATGTAATGGTTTGGTCCTGCCTCCAAACGCTGTGCGGGCACCGCTCTTTTCTTTTCTCCGCAAAGCCATGGTATCACTGTGACCCAGATAGCATTTCCCCATTTGCACAAATGTATTTTTAACGAGACAAAAATGCTGCAATTCTATACTGGCTGTCATTATCAGAAGAGGAAAGAGCTGACTTTTAGAGAGACGGTGTTATTTGCTTTGAAACATATTGTAAGTCCACATCCTGACGCTTAAACTTGAGATAGTGACCTAACAAGTTTTCAACCTTGGGACGGACAACCAAACACATATGACCCCATATCTTCACCTGCTCTGTAGTCTTGTAACACAACTCTTCCTCCAACCAGTTGATCTAGGCTTCAAATCCCTGGCTGTAACTGGAGACATCTTTGCTAACGCTTGTAATAAATTAGTTTATTCCGGTCAGTAGACAAGTCATTGATTCAAACTTATAGGCTGTATATATTCCTGCTGCTGGGCGACCTGCCAACTGTCACATTTTGTGGTCAGTATTCTTAACTTCAAAGCTGATTCATGCTGCAGGGGTCCTGGGTATCTCTGGAATGTGATGACATGATTTCTGTCCTAAAAGCAGTCCGCAGTAAGTTACTCATTACGCCGGCGGCCTTGTGAACCACACTAAATCATGTTCAGGAGCTCTGCATCTTACCCATTAGTCTAAATGAGGTCAGTGCTGCCTGTCTCCATCAATATCGGTGTAATGTGTCTTCATCTTGGCTTCTGGTGTCCTCAGAATTATTCAGAAAAATCAGTTTTCTACTCATCCATTTACCTCTGACAAGTACATGGTGTTCCATTTCAAAAATGTCTTCTTTAATAAATCCATTAATATTTTGCTCGGTCTTGCATGTGATGTTCAAATACAAACAGTTGTTCGGTATGTTTGCACATGCTCAGGTTGCCAAGAGTTGCTCCTTTTCACTAAGAGTTGATTTTATCAAACTGTATGGCAAGATTGACTCCACTATCTTGATCCTTAGGGCTGTGGCAAAAATCATAATAAGGATTATCTAAGTCAATATTGAGATTGCAACTGATTAAAACCGTTACTTTAAAATTAAATTCAACTGAAACAGCTTGAAAAAAAAGAAGAAACTGAGATGATCTTGTTTTCATAAAAGTCAAACCCAAACTTATACTTTTAAATAAAATGTAATTAAACACACAGCCCTAGTGCTCATGCCATCAATACTGGTTTGCATGACAATGAACATTTCCCCAAGCATCTATTAAGAAACAAGGGTCAGTTGACCCGGGGTCGCGTGGCTCTTCTCATGGTTTTGTGCGGCACTTTATTCGAGGCAGTTGGTGAGAGAGTTGTGTTACAGGTCACTGACAAGACGGAAATTCCATTGCAAGGAAGGGAAACATTTTACAGCATAGTTGTCAGTTAGTAGTCAGAGCCGACTGACTAATCATTGTGTATATGTTTTGTGTTTTTGCCTTCCTTTGATTTGTATGATAACTTTCATTTCCTCACAGTGGGAGGATGTCCAGAATCTTAACTTCGTGCCACAGTCACTTTGATGTTGGCTCTAGTCGTTGTGCTGTACAGCGTTTAACAGGAGAGGTGAGGTCACATGAGGTGGCACTATTTCTTTGCATATCAGGACGCTGACTCGAGATCCTCATACATTTCATCCCTTCTCTGACAACCACAACTGACAGTTCAGATGCATTGCCAAGTGTCTCTTTAATAGTATTGATCCTACGTTGTCAATAAATGGATTCACTTCAGCTGTGGGCAGCATTATAATGAGTCAGGTGCAGGCTGAGGGGCTTCTTCTATTGATCAAATCAATCACTCTGGGTTGTCATCTGGCGTAAGCACTTGGCTGCCACTGTCAACTGACAATAAATTACAACACATTATGGGAATTAATTCATTGGGGTTATATCCGGTCAATCACACAGAACTGTCACTCAGCAGATGCAGGCTCACCAACGCTGTGGTCAAACCATTTTAAGCATCTGGGTCAAACACAGTAACATTAACGTGATATTATCAGATGATATATAATAATAATAATAATAATACGTTATATATCACCCTGCCAATGTTTTCTGTAAATGCTAGGCTTTCTAATAATGCAGTAGCAGATGATTGGGATTGATATACCAATGGATTTGAATTAAAACATGTTTACAAAGCTGACAGGATATTGAGACTAACTTCCAAACTTAGGGAAAACACAGATAAGTGCATCTGGGGCGACTTTAACCTCCCAGGGATCATGACTTGTGCCAATGTCATGTAACTCAAAAAGGTTGTAAATGAATGTGTAAAACATGGAAGCAGCAGTGATGGACACAATGTGATTATTCAACACTCAGGGGAGACGCTGTTGTTCTTTCTAGCAGAGGCCTCTGTCTGCCAGTCAATGCAATTACTGATACTTTACCTGAGGCAGAGACAGAGCTCAAGCTGAGGCTCACACCATTTCATACCAGCGAAAGAAAAGGTTAATGGAAAATGATGTCAAAATGTAATGCAATTTGAGCCTGCCTTTATAAACCTTATTGACACATTTTGCATTCTTTGAACATGCATGGTATTTAAAAAAAGTTGAATCTACATTTTGTTTTGGGCTACAAAAACACATCCAACATGTTTTGACGTTTGTTTTATAGCCATCAAAAGGAATGGGCTGTGTCTGAAGTTGTTTTACAATATAACACCGTGTTTCAGAGAGCCTTTCCAGGGTATTCCCACTGTATGTTCTATGTGTTCTGTGCTTGAGCTTTGGGTGTGGGAGGGTGTGTGAAGGAGATAAGCTTGACGTTTGAGGGTGTACCAAAAAGAAAATATGATCATGATAATCACTAGTGTTGCAATGTTAAGTCAACTAATAGATTAGTTGATTGACAGAACATTTATTAAAAAGCTGTTTTCAAACCTCTTAAATATTATGTAAAATGTCCTACTTTCCTTCATATTCTATCATATTCAAGGACACATCTTTGGGACTGAGAAATGAAAACGTTTGAACACTGTAAAAATGTGTTTTACTTTGTTCTGACATTTCGTAACATTTTAATTTAGAAAATAACTGGCATAATAACTGATAATAGAACATAATCATCGGTATCGGCTCTAACAATGTGTAAAGTAAATAAAAACGATGT